ATTTATTATTATTTCAGCTTTAGTTTTTTTGTTTTAAATACTTTACATATTTCAGTTAGGTGGCAAAGCAACATTTCTGATTTTCCTTTAAGTTTTGAAGTTTAAAATTTTCACGTAATGTATATATTTATTTCACCTTTATTTTAATTATGAAAATAATTGTTCATCGTTTTATTTTTAGTTAAAAACAACACTGTGACATACCTACAGTATTTCACATTTTAAATCTACTATTTTATCTAATTGCTTGAACAAAAGCAACAAAACACATCTCAGTAAATATTTTTCTTTGTTCTTTTCTGCAGCCACGAAATGGAAGATCTGATGAGTATGTGTAAAACAAAAAAGAATTGAAAAATCAGGTATTTCTTTCTTCTTTTTTACAAATGAGAAAAATCTGTTAAAGCTACTTTTTCAATGTGTTTCCTACATGTGCACTGGGTTTAGAGTCACATTAATCTCACAGGACCAAAATACAAAAAACAAATACATAAACTCATATGCATTTTCATATAGGCCTACAACAGGGCATTTGTGTTTAATGGCATTAGAGCATTAATATGTGAACTTAAACCCGCAAAAACCCTTTTTCTCTATACTAGTGTATCTGTTAATGTCTTAAAAAAACATTTTTGATGAACATTTTCAGCAGCACCAGACCCCATCCAGATTGTGTGCTGATCCAGAGAAACGTCACACGTTCCAGAAAACACCTCTCTATTGAATTTTGATGTTGAATGTACAGACAGAATCCAAATAAAGTCTTTTATCTGTTCAAACATTCCTGTTTGTGTAACTGTGCCGTGTCTTTTGAATTAAAAGCATTCTAAAATATTTCTTCATTGTGGCAGTGTGATTTTGACCAAACTCACTGTATGTGTTTTACTATATCTACCTTATTGGAATGTTACCAAAGAACAAAGAAATAAAACCTTTTTCTCTCTCTCCATCTATTTATTGAAAGCACTAGTGTGACTGGTTCATTCTCTCTTTCTCTAGATGAATGTGTGTTTTTGTTATCCTGCTATCTATAATGATTAGTCAAAAAGCATTAATCAACCTTCACTTCCGATCACTGTCATTTTAATTGGATTTGTACATCTAAACAGCATGAACTGCATCCTTTCTGATAAACATCACTTTTCAGTCCTTTATCGGTTTAGTAGAATCTTGCTTATGGTCTATTGTTCTCATAAATACATATAATGTATTCATTAAGCTGTTGTCATACTGTGAGGATGAACTGGGGCCTGAAATAACTAAGTAGGTTACGTCATGGATCGTGACTGCATTTCCTTTAAGAAACTTGTGACACAAACTAAGAGTGGGTAGATGAGGAAGATCACTTCACCGGTTCTAGACAGACATACCTAGAGGGTACGACTCAAAACACATTAGTGGGTGTTTTGTAGGGGGCTGGGTGTGAAAAAGGAAGCTTCGGGGTTGTGAAAAAACGTCGAACGCAATCAGTCCAAGGGTATGAGAGGAGTACACAAATGAAACACACATTGGACCTGTTCAAGCTTATTTTGTTATCGACTAATTTGGGTTAGAAACACAAACATTGCTGGTTAGTTGTAAACTGAAGTGACCAATGACCCAGGAACTGAGATTACTTTCTGACACTTTTATTTCCTTGAAGAAGATACATTATAATAGAAGAATAATGAACTTAATTTACAAATACCAAAAGAACGATTTTCTCTTTCAACCTGCAGTTTAATTGTTTGATTTGCAATATTTGCAGAATTACCTAAAGTACACATTTTAATGTGTTGACTAACATACTAAAACACATGTAAAGTTGATTACAATTTTAACTGTAGTGTTATTTTATATTACATTTAAAGTTAATATAGCCTATTTTAAATGTTCTAAATTGCAACTTCATTACAATATATAATAATCATTACAATAATTACAAAATACATGACATACGAGTTTTAATAGAAATGACATTAAAGTATATTTTAGTTTACCATATGCTTGTCAGTATTCAACAGTACACTTTAACCATATTTCAAAGACAATATGAAGTAATTATGAAATTACATATAAAGATGGGTGAAAAACACTCTTAAATTCAACTAACTGCATTTAATATAAATTTAAACTGTAATGCATTTTCATTTAATTGCAATTAACATGCAATTGTCTGAAAACATTACATTCAGTTCACACTTAAGAATATTCTTTTAAAGTATAAAGTTTAAAGTCCTTAATAAGTAGGGTGAATTCAGGTAAAGTTGGCCACTTTTTGTAAAACGTGTAATTTAGATACAATTTAGTTTTTTCCCCCTTTTCTTTATTACTTTTGTTAACTTTAAGGTCTAGCTATAATATTTAAATCTGAATACAGTTCATATAAAGTGTTATTTGCAAGGTATATACCAATAAACATATTTTAGATCATGCACTCCAGACAAATTTAATTTCAGGTAAAGTGGGCCATCCCTTATTTATCAAAAAATGTTCTGCATCTTAAAAACACATGATTTATTAACACATATTATCAGACAAACATATTTAACAACATATTTAACAAACCCCAAAAATATATAAACTACAGGTTATGAGTAAAATAAATCCTCATCTCAATTCATGTGTGAAATTCCAAACAACTGAAAGAACATGTTGTGTTGACATTAAATTTGATGAAATCTGAATATCAGAATATTCAGAAATCAGAATATTGATAAAAAATTAACTCTACAATATATGAAAAATGTTACTATAACACAAGCAACAACAAATAGGCTAAAAAAAAAATTAATAAGAGGAAAATTTCAAATGGTAACCATATGCTAAAATGTTTTCTGTCTATGTTCTCTAAACAAAAACATTACATGAACTTTAAATGAACTTCAATTGTGTCCATGAACTTTAATTGTGCCCATATTTTAAAGCTTTATATTCTGCATCTACAATTGTCTCCTCTTATATTTTCTTCACTCCACCGATTGAACTTCATGCCTATTCTCTCCTTCCTTTCTTCCATCTCTGACTTGAATTTCCTGACTGCAGTCTCATTTCTGTTTTCTAAAAAAGTTAATTGTCTAATATAAAATAACCAGTGAATGTCAATTATTATTATTTTTTTTAAAGTATGCTTAAAGTGTACTTCTTTTTCCACAAGGAAATAAAAAAAAGGAAAGAGAATTTCTTAGTAAAAGTTGTGAAAAAAAGTGAACTATTCAATCTACGTTGTACATTGTTTGCAGAACCACACTCTCAAAAAAAGGTACAAAAGCTGTCACTGGGGCTTACACTTTTGTACCTCATTAGGATTGGACTAAAGGATGCATATTTGTACCTTTAAATGAATGTACATATTATTCACTCAAGTGTATATTAGTACCTAAATATGTAAAGCAAGAATATGTATAACGTAGAAATAGTCAAAAAGATGTATTTAATATGATAATACCACCACCGTGTGGTTATTTTTCTACTGAATTATAGTTGACTAAAGCTTTGCTCATCTTGGTGTCACACGATCTCCACTCATAATAATAAAAGCACCATATCGTTTTTGTTTTTGTTTTACTATAAAAATGTAATTACAGTTTACTAGCCTACATATTCTTCGTCATGAAAATAACAGTGGGCTAAACTCGAGTTATCATTACTATTTTAAAACAATAGTTGTAGGTCTAGTAGTGAGGTACTACTACTGTTTCACACACTGACATTTTAACAGGCTAAATAATAATTAGCAGGAAAAAAACAGCTTGCAAAATATGCAATTTTTTTTTTTTTACTACGGTCTTTATCATGTTGTGTTAGATTTAAACGTGAACAGACATAAACATTTCCACACGTCTGTGCGTGCTTTCTACCACACTGATTTGTATGTCACTGAAACATTTACATGTTTTCACTACGGAAATTAGTATGGACTTAATGCAAATTAAGTAAAGGTTTTTAAATAGCCTTTAACAAACAACGTAAAATTGCCTCGAGGCACGATTGTCACGATCGTGTCTCGTTTAAAACAAGCTATAACTTTTCTTCCACCAATGTTCTTAAAATAACGTTAGTCATGCAACAAAACAATAATTTTACCTTCCATTAACTTCTATCATCTGGCAATGGAAAAGCCTTTGCTCTGCGCCACGGCATTTTGCGTACTCGCATCATCTTTCTATTGGACAACACAGCTGTCATTCAACGCGTCATGCCCTAAAATTTCCCGCGCGCTGTAGTGGTTTCAAGATCGGTTGACGTGCGTATTTGACCTAATTGGCATTCGGCCAAGAGAAAGAGCGACACATGTGGGCCAAAGATTAGGAACGTTTGTATAACATAAAATTCATACCGAAACACAACCATTAAAATATAGCAGGGTATTGTCTGTTTGAAGTTATTGAAACTTTAAAACCGCCACGGAAAGAGTGAAATTGGACCACTTCAAACAGGAAAGCTAAAAGTGATACATTTCGTGTATACATTTTACAGTTAATTCCTCCAAAAACGCTTTAATCTCGTTTTCCCTCTCATTTTATTTGAAATATGCGCTTTGTTTCTTCTTACGTGTTTTAACTCGTCTTCACTTTAAGAGTCTCATGGATTATTGGTAGATAATAACGGGAATTAATTTTCAAATCTAAGTGTCTGCATGTTTTTCGGCTTTCCCAGTTTTTGTTTATTTTGTGAACATTAAATGTTTTATGCGTTATATTAACATTTAATGATTTTTTTTTTAAATGTACACTTTAATGTTTTTCTTAATTTCTATAAAAAGTTATACAGGTATACTTTTTGATATAAATGAGTCGTTTTGGTCACTCTCCATGATCCGCTATTTTTAATTCCCTTGAAGCTGATAACTTCTGTTTCTTTTTTATGAACTGTATTCTATACAGTAACAAAAGCAATTTAAACAAAACAGCTCTTAAAGATGCTCACATGCAAAGTAGGAGCCAGGTCAACCGCCATTAAATCGTACAAGAAGAAGAAGCAGCCAGGACTTGCCGCGTGTTGCCAGATTGTGTGGGATTCTGCTCTAGCCGTACTGCGCTTGCGCGTGGGAAGCCTGGGGTAGGCCCTGCTGTTTTTCTAACTCTAGTTCAATCCTACACTGCCGTCTCAACCAAAACAAGGCGCAAGAAAACCCCCCTCCTGGACGGCAAATAACCGAGGTAAGAAAGCAAGCGGGCTTGCTAGATAGCATTCTTTTAAGGCAGAGCAGCGGAGCTCCAGTGTCGCATTTGTGTCGGATTTAATACAAGCGTATACGCGGTGAAAATACGGTGGTGTGTGTTTAATGCTTGCCTGGGAAGAATCCGAAGGCCCGGTGACCTACATTTGTTCTAGCCTAGTGAGGCAAGGGGAGTGTACGATGTTGCGCTGCCAAATGTTCGCAACCGATTTAAAGCCCGGACATCTCTCGTGCATCGCATGATTTAGTCCCTGCAGAAGCTGTATCTTTGTGGCTTTGCATTTATCAGCTATGCACGGATAGCCCTGTTTATACTGACGACGCGCGTTTGTCAGGCTGTTAACTCGCGCTTCTTCAGGTCATATTTTAATCTGTGTTTCAGTGAGCATATCGATCAAATAAATCGGTCTGAGCGGATGCATGAATATCCGCCAGTAATCGTGAATCTACTCGTTTATTTTACTATGCAGCCTGAAGGATTGCGACTCCGAAGATGGGAAGTAAATCCAATTTAACCTGACCATTTTCTCGCTGCTCCGGCAGAGCAACCTGTAGCGAGCTCGGCTGAATATGTATATCCCGTCTTTTTACTAACCACAGCTGGAGTAACCAGCCGCACACAGAATTAGTTAACACCTTGGAGTTTTTGCCATTTATTGCAGCTTTGCATGTCGTTCGGCTCTATTTAATTATCATGCGACCGGGGAGTGAAGAGACAAAAAAGAAGATAATACCGGTAATTAATTGCTTTTATCTAAACAGGTCGTAGTGCACATATTTCTGCGTGTATGTTTCTGTTAAATCTTTGAATTTAACGAGAATAAAAAGGTAAAAATCTTTATACCGACTGACAGCAAGTAAGAGGTGTTTCGGTTTCTCTGTGAAGGTGAATTAGGGTTATTTGACGTTCAAGCGGGATTTCTTATGGACGGTGCTGGAACTGAATGTCTGCGTTTCATTTTATATTTGGTGTCTCGTGTCTTGTTGGTATTATTTAAGCATAAAAGCGCCTTGCTAGTATTGTATCTGATAACGGCGCGTTCCCAAATGCCTAATGTTTTCTTGGTCGGCAGTTTAATAGGTTTTGTCTATATCACTTATACGAAATTAAGCCTTTGCTTTTGAATATTAATTAGGTTATGCACGAAAATTGATTTATGCAATTATAAGGCAGAATAAAGATTGCTGTTGATATGTCAATAAACTGATTATTTGCAGATTATTTGGCTGATAACAAATTAAAACTGGAATGTGAATATTAGCATAATTAGAAATGTACAGAGATTTAATTAATTTAGGTGATTTTTTCTATATAATAATAATAACAATAATCTCTTAATGAGTAATTCATCATAGTAATAAAGTTTTATTTAATTTGAGTTATTTTAATACTTCAACAAACTAAATGTTTTTATTTAATCTCTTTATTTTTAAAATGTGTATAGTTAGTATTTATAAAGTTTTAGCTTTTAGTTTTGGATCTGTTTTTAGTTGTTTTAATACTACAATTGATTGCTTCTGTTGTCCTCATTTGTAAGTCGCTTTGGATAAAAGCGTCTAATAAATGACTAAATAAATAAAATAAATAAATAATTCGATTTTTTTTTTGTCAGAACAGTCAATGTATTTGTAAATTATTTTTTGAGATTTAATTTGAAAACTTCCCATATCCCATATCTCCCACTGTTGGTCCTGGGATTTTGTAGATCAGTGGATTCATCCATGGCTCAGCATTCACAGACAAAATATGACTTCATGAGCACTGGTAACATTTTCATTTTAAGTTCTAATCCTTCTTAATATAACTTTATTGCAATAAATAAAAAGTGCCACTGTACGTCATGAGCATGGACAAAAATGTTAAAAATAACACATTGCATCTGGATTTTAATAACAAATGGATATGTCCCATCTGTCCCCACTGTTAATGGCGCCTTTGTTTTTAGGTTCACTCTGGATAAGGTGCGTTTGTTTATCACTCAGTATTTCTTATAAAATAAACTTGTGTGTACACGTGAATAACACTGGAAATAAATGAAACTGCCACATGATCCACATAAAAGGAATCCTAGAAAGCAGGTTGTTTTTCACCTTCACCATGTTGATCAACACCAGTCCTTCACTGAGGTGGAGAGTGTTTTTCTCACATGATGGTTTTTCTTTGGCAAAGCAGTTATTTGTCAGCACATTATTCCCTTTACAAACCTAGTAACCATCAATTTCATAAAAATACTGCAATGTTTACTGTCATGGTAAATTATCATTGGATCCTTCAAACAGTATAAGAATTTGATTTATATATGCCCGTGGTGGTTAATACTTAAAAATTTAGTTCCATTGTTGTTATGCTATTGAGAAAATCATAAACCTGCCATGTTTCCTGTGACTTTTTGAATGCCTTTGTGGTTTATTTGATTTGTTTGTATATCCCCATTGTACAAACCTTTACATTGTTTGAACAAGTTCAGTCAGCAATTTAATTGGTCATGAAGTTGAAGTCTGTGAGGGCATTCAGGGATAAATCAACTGCACTGTCACCCCAGCAAAGTCATGCCCATCTGACTTAACAGGTCTGGCCGATATCGCTTTTGACAGCGTTTGCAGATCTATCACAACCTTGCACCCTACTTAATCACATCTGCAAGTGTGCAGCTTTGGCTGAATTGCTAGTTTACAAATCTGGGTTTTGTTTTATGTATTAAAGGTATGCCGCTCAAAGTGTAAGGTAGGGGTGGGTGATATGGCTAAAATATCATATCACGATTTTTCTCAGGAAAATCACGCTTTGTGATTTGATCATGATTCTTTGTCATGTTGGTTTTACTATTTTGCAAGTTGTCTGAGCAGTACAGCCCAACTAATTTCCCTATTTTAAAAACAAAGCCTTCCAAGGTAACAAAATATAAAATAAAAAAGAATGGCAGATAGTTTGGCCAGAGTGAGCAAAGACAAAAATCTTTGTCATTATTTTATCTTTGTTATTAAAAAATGAGAACAAAGATACACATTACAAACACACATAATATACAAATAAAACAAACAGTGCTTTAGTAGGTGTATTTAGCAGTAGCATTCAAGAAATTGAATGAACAAATATAAAAATACAACACTATATACACTTCACTGTATAAATTATACATTGATTCTAATTAAAGCAACTGTATTAAAGTTCTTCAGTCAAGAGTAATGTTTTGTTGTTTTATTAACATTAAAGGAATAGTTCACCCCAAAAATGACATTTCTGTCATCGTTTACTGACTCTCAAGTTGTTTTAAACCTGAATGAGTTTCTTTCTTCCGTTGAACAAATGTTATTTTGAAGAATGTGGGTAACCAAACAGTTGCTGGTCCCCAGTGACTTCCATAGTATTTTTTTTTTTTTACTACTATAAAAGTCAATGGGGATCAGCAACTGTTTGGTTACCCACAATCTTCAAAATATCTTCTTTTGTTTTCAGCACAACAAAGAAAATTAATGCAGGTTTTGGACAACATGAGAGTGAGTAAATAATGACAGAATTTAGATTTTTGGGTGAACTATCCCTTTATTGACAAGCGGCAGCATGTTTAGTACTATTAGGGTGCGTCTCAATCAGCTCCTGAGCTCGTGAATTAATATATCGTGTACACGAATCCGGGCACTGGTAAGTTCCCTGACTCAATGCGCATTGGGACAATGATTACTCAATTTCTGGCGACATGACAACGTACAATGTCAACAGACAACATTGTAGAACGTCACTGCTGGTATTAATCAACAACAGGCAGGACCAATCTCTTTTTGATATTATTTTGTATTCTCTTTAAACACACTGTTCCATTACATATTCTTACAACATTTCAGCCAAATATTAATTATAAATGTTAACTAGATGTGTTCACTACAAACCTCTTTCTGATTCTGATACAGGTCTAGCGATGTGTGTTTGTGCTGAAATATACTAAAACAGGGTTTGTCTTTTCAAATCTTCTAGCGCTTTCAATTATATTTATCGAGTTGGCTTGTGTGGTTTATGTTTTGAGCTTCAAAAATGTGACGTCATTACCGGTAAGGGAGCATCGATTATCCCTAGTTTTTGCGGTGCATTGTGGGATTTTTCAGGGAGCAAATGTTCCAGCAGACCTTAAAATGGCCTTACAATGGCCGACTCCCTGATCAGTTCCCAGACAAGAGTCAGGCAGGTCACGGTGCGTAATTTGTTACAAGGCCTTCAATGGTTTGTCACCAAGGTGTGAAGTAATGAATTACAGATACTCACGTTACTGTAATTAAGTAATTTTTTATCAGAAATTGTACTTTTTTGAGTAGTTTAAAATTGTGTACTTTTACTTTTACTCAAGTACATTTTAAGTGATGTATCTGTACTTTTACTCCGCTATTTACCCTTCGTTTGTGGTTGTTACATGCATGTTTTAATCCATCAATGTGATTGGATAGGGAGAGAGTAATTGGTCTTGACTCTTGTGACTCTCGTCAAATCAAAATGTGCATAGAAAACATTAACCGCCAACTGGTGATAATCATGGCTGCTGGAAGCACATTCTTCAAGCATCACTTGAAGTTCTCAAACTTCTTCGAGTTATCAGCATCTTCCTCTAATATGTTAAGGTAAATTTCGGATTTCTTCTTACTAAATAATCTGTATATGCTAGCCTACAGGGCCTGAAATTTGGTGTGAGGTTGCGGGGTATTGCGCACAATGTTAATGACTCCCACAAGTGTCACATTTACGTCATATACGTGCGATCTGCACTGCCACGTCTCTCCCTCGCGTGCGTCCTGCAGCAGTCACTTGGAGAAGTCGTCAGCTTGTTGACACCTGATGAGTTTGAGCGCAATTTGAGTTTGTGCGCTGTGAAAAAGTGTGTTGGGAGTGGACACTCTAAAACGCATGGAAACGTGGAAAAAACAGCTTACCATGGCTTAATGTACTGAAATTGGAGGACCAGATTCATGATGCACCTTATTAATGACCCGTGG